GCCGGAGCCCCGCCTCCCCGGGCCAAGCCCCGCCTGGCTCCCAGCGCCCCGCCCCCCCCTCTGCATCGGGGGCTGCGGGCACCATGGGGACTGGCCGCTGCCCCGGGCCCCCCAGGCGGGCATCTGCGGCCGGACTCCTGCGCCGGACTGACCGGCCGCCGGAGGCCCTGATGGGCGGCCAGACTCGGAGTCCCCGGGCCAAGCCCCGCCCGCCCCATCCTCCTGAGCCGCGCTGGCAGGAAGCCGCCCTGCAGCGGTGTCCCTCGGCCACCTGCTGGGCCTAGCGGCTGCAGGGCCCGGCCAGCCTGCCCGATCCCGCCGCCCGTGGGCTTAGGTTAGCTTTGTGCCTTAGCACCTCAGCCACCAGCCGGGCCTGCACCGCGCCCTGCGCCCTGCCCCCAGCCGGCGTGGCCCGTGCCCCAGCCCCCTCGAGCTTTGCAGGAGCGTGGGACCGACGGAGGTGGCCCAGCGTGCCCGCGCCGGGGTGAGTGACCCGCCCTCAGCCTGGCCCCAGCTCTGGGGGTGCGCGGGTGGCTGGGGGGGTGCGGCCTGCGGCAGGGGCGCTGAGCCTCCCTGCCTCTGGGTTCCAGGCCTCAGTCACCGCGGACGCTGGACCCCTCCTGGAGCTGGGGGCCGGCCCCGGACTGAAGACCGCGCGCTCTCCCGCTGACCGCGCACCCTGGACAACTGCCCCAGTGCCCGCGTCCCTCTCCCCACCTCTGTGCCCTGCTGTGCCGCCTGCGTGTGCCAGGCCTCGGCGTCCAAACGTCCGTGTCCATCGTTCTCAGACCAGAAACGGCCTTGCGTGCTTCTTGGGGAGGTGGGGGGCAGGGGGGGCTCCGTTGCCCCGGCTGCTGCTCCTCTGCCTGTGCGGGTGGGTCAGCAGGGGGCCGGCGGGCGTCTGGCCAGCTGGGGTGGGTGGCGGGGGCAGCGCCCGCCCGCTCCGTGGGGCAGGTGGGCAGGTGCCCAGAGGCGGCAGCAGAGGCCGCGGGCGGCGCATCCGCACAGGGTGGACCCTGAGCCCTGGCTCCGGGCTCAGCGCTGACCGCCGTGCGGCCCCCAGGCCCGCCCAGCCTGCACCTGCGCTCATGCTTGTCTCTGCACAGAGCTGGGGTGCGGGCCCGAGGTGGGGGGAAAAGACTCCCCAGAGACAGAGTGGGGAGCAGAGCAGGTGGAGTCCCTGAGACACAGTCAGCGGGGGACAGGAGGGTCAGCGCCCGCTGAACACAGCCCAAGACCCAACGCGCGCAGGCTGTCGGGGAGGCGCTGGCCCCTAACGCCACGGGCCCCAACCCCACCTCCCCAGAGGGGTGCCCTGCCCGGTGGGCGGGGGCACAGAGCTGGCCTCGGGCTGCGTGGAGGCGCTGAGCAGGCTGGCCGGAGCCGGCCTTCACTGGACACCGCGGGCTTCTGCCGGGCTGGACCAGGCCCTTCCGTCCCCGGTGCCCTGGGGTGCGGGGGCGCAGCCGGCCGAGGGGACTCTGGCCCAGTGTCCCCACCCCTGGGGCCTCCTGCTGGGTCATCCGCCAACACCTGCAGGCGCTGGGCCCCGGAGCCCCGGCCGGCGGGGTGGCTTCTGGGCCGGGGAGGCCGGGCGCCGCTGGGCTGGTCGTCAGGTCTGCAGAGTCCTCAGCCTGCTGCAAGACGGGGGCCGCGCCCGGTACCCCGAGCCCGCCTCGCAGAGTGGCCTGCTGCGCACCACGCCCAGACAGCGCGGGGCCAGGGCCCGGGGGGCCCGGCCAGTGGGCAGCAGCCGGCCCAGGCCCAGAAGGGCAGAAAGCCGCCTGGCCAACTGGAAGGACAACACGAGACCACGGCCAGCGCTGCCCCTGGTCCCCTGGCCCTGTCACCCCCTCCCTGGGGCCACCGTCACCCCCAGGCTCACCCATGTCCCAACCCGCCAGGAGCCAGCCGGCTTCCTCGGCATCCCTGCCCCCCTGCGCCCCTCTCCCTCCTTTCCCAGGCTCCACTCCAGCTTCAACCCCCCCTGCTCAACGCCACCCCCTTGGGTGTGGCCCCGGCCGCCTGAGGGGTCCCGCGGCGTCCGACTCTGCGCCCGGAGCAGGTGGTGACCGTCACTGTCACCCGCGGCAGACTGCAGCCCCAGGGCCAGCTGGGACAGGACGGGCGGGGGCCGGAGCCCCCAAAGCCCGAAGCCGCGCACGGGGCTGCAGCAGTAGACCCCCATACGGCAGGGACCCCGCGCCCCGCTGCGACGCCTGGGGCTCCGGGGACAGCCGGCGGCGCGTCCCACCGGGAGTGGGGCGCTCCCCGTGCCACGCGCGCCCCCGGGTGAGGGGGCGTCGCGGGCCTTCGGGGCCCCTCAGTCAGGCCCGGCAGAGGCCTTTTATACCGGGGGGCGGGCCGAGCGCGGACCAATCAGGCGCGAGCTGCTAGCCGATTGGTGCTCAGTGGTCCAATCAGCCGCAGGGCCGCATGGGGTCCTTCGGACCGCGAAGTGCCCACCAGGGAGGCGCTCGGCCAGGCGGGCGGGGCCTGGGGCGCGCGACCCAGACCCGGGGGCAGAGACCCGCAGGCGCGGGGTCCCGCACGCTGGGCGCGGAAGGTGGGAGCCTGAGTCCACGCCCCCGCACGGGGCCGCCCCGCGGGCTCCCGCCGGGTCTCGCCGGTTCACCCAACACTCAGAGCTGCTCTCACCGGCTGCTCCGACCCCGCCTCCGGGGGGCCAGTCGTCGTGGCCCGCCACTGGCCAGTGCCGCCCGGTGACCAGTAGCAGGCGGGACGCTCCCCGGGTGCGCGAGGCGGCTGCCACATGGGGCCACGGTGAGCACCTGCCTCCCTTGTGGGGTATGCCCCCCTGACCCTGGAGCCCGAGGCCTGGTTGTGGGGCACGGGGCCCCAGGCCGTGGCCTCTGCCCGGCCCGTCCTCTGACCGGCCGCGGCCACAGCCTCCTGCCGTGTGGGTGGGGGTCAACTGCTCCAGCCCTGGGTGTGGGCTCTGGCCTTTGGGGGCTCCGGCCTCAGCCGCCGCATCCTCCCACCCGGCCTCCTGCGTTTCACCCCCTTGACAGCTGCCCTCCGATTCTCACGGCCCCTGGTGCAGCTGCCTCTGCTGCAGTCTGGCGCTCTGTGTGCCCGCCTCTGGCCTGGCCCTCAAGCGTGGCCGCCGGCTGTGCCACTCCAGCAGCCCCACTGAGCACCCGGTCACTCCTGCTGAGGGCAGTCTTCGCTCGGGCCTCCTGGCCCCCGCGGACCTCGGCTCAGCCCGGCCAGCCAGCCCCGGCCTCACATTCCTTTCCCGTGATCTCAGTTCTCCAAAGCTGCCCACTTTCTTGTTCTTGACCTTCAGCTTCTTGTTCAGTGGAAAAATTTGCTTGTTTTCTGGGCACGTCTCCCTGGGCAGCCGTCTGTCTGGGGGTGTGCTGTGCTCCTCTCTCTCAAAGACCCAGCATTCCAGTGCTGGGGTGCAGGGATGAGAGGAAGCCCCAGAGACAGAGAGACAGAGTGGGGAGCAGAGCAGGCCCACAGCTGAGGGGGCAGCGGGGGAGACAGGAGAAGTCTGTTGCACCCGTCGGCCACTCCCTGGCCCAGGATGGACACGGACTGCAGCAGCGACAGCTTGGTGGTGCTGAGACTTAACCCCCTTTTAAAAGACATTCTTAAATTTGACGGCCTCGTGTCATTTCCGTTTCTTTCTCCCTGATTATTTTGTCTGAAGTAATTCTTGCACACCCTGAGTAAAAAGTCCACACTTTGATTCGATTACTTTACCTTGCACTTACGCTTTTATGGTGAGTTAGGGGGTCCTACTATCCAGGAGGTCCGAAGCCTAATAGCAAATCAATTTCCCGAACCCAATCTGTGAAACAGCACCACCTCTGGCCGCGGCCCACGGCCACCACGGCCACACCACATGCCCCATGGCCACTCCGTGTGGCTGTGCGTGAGCTGCCCGGAGGTGCCAGTCACTATTATAACCTGTATCTTCAGGAGCGCAGGGTGAGTCTCCATCATTTCACCCGTTAAAGACTCTGCTTCCAACCAAGATGACCCAGGGACCAGAACTACCCTTCCCGAGAGCCACAGGAGAGACGCAAAAGGACTTTGCCAGTGCCGAGGCCCTGAGGAGGGACAGTGGGTTGCTTCTGGGGCGCCTACCGCTTACTGCAGTGTTTTACAGGGAGGAAAGGGAGGGTTGCACCCCGTGTTCACAGCAGCATTCCGTATCTTTGCAGAACCCAAGTTCCAACAGATGAGTGGCTAAACTGGGTGCCCCACACCGGGGGACTCAGCAGCAAAGACCCATCCTATGCCCGTTTCTATTTTTAAAAAAAGACTTGTGCACACAGAACTGGGGCACAGGCCAGAGGTGCAGGGGTGGTGAGAAGGTTCACCAGAGACAGAGAGGGGGGCAGAATGGACAGGCAGATGGACTGAGACACGCCGTTGAGGGGACAGCGGGCAGGTCAGGACAGGTCTGCTGCACCCTGTGGTCACTCCCTGGCTGGGCGGTGCACAGCATGCAGTGGGGTGCGGCCCTTAAACCCCGTGTGCCACCGGGCAGGGCCTCCTACGTGTGTTTCAAAACCAAGCCAAACCGCGGCTATCCTGGAAGTGACCCCTCGGGGCCCTCACAGAGTGGCAGGAGTGGCAGAAGCCAGGCCGACACGAATACGCGCCGGCCTTCGCGGCTTAACGATCTAGAAAATGCAAACTAGCGAGACAAGAAGCCGCTGTGGCGTCGCAGGAGAGGCGGAGGGCGCCGCGGGCACCGAGGCCCCCGGCG